CAGCCAACAACGCATTTTGCCGGCGCTGTTCAAGGAAGGAATCAACGCCAACATGGTTCCCTTTGTCCTGCCCAGTGTGTTCCTCATCGCGGAGCAGTCGAGCACCGAGGAGTACCGGGCCCTCATCCTCCCGGGGATCATTCCTTTTCTGAAGCTCCGCGAGCCCATCCAGGTACGCCCGAATTGTGTCGATAGCGCCGTAAAACCATGCTCAGTCAGTCAAAACGAGTGAGGAGAGTTGTGTGGGTTGTGTTCAAAATTAGGGGTACCCCAACCTTTTTTGCGCTTCGTACCGGTTCTGTGTAAGATATGTTTTCATAGACAGGTTCCGTGTAAGATATGTTTTCATAGACAGGTTTCATGTAAGATATGTTTTCATAGACAGGTTGCGTGTAAGATATGTTTTCATAGACAGGTTTCATGTAAGATATGTTTTCATAGACAGGTTTCGTGTAAGATATGTTTTCATAGACAGGTTTCGTGTAAGATATGTTTTCATAGACAGGTTTCGTGTAAGATATGTTTTCATAGACAGGTTTCGTGTAAGATATGTTTTCATAGACAGGTTTCGTGTAAGATATGTTTTCATAGACAGGTTTCATGTAAGATATGTTTTCATAGACAGGTTTCGTGTAAGATATGTTTTCATAGACAGGTTTCATGTAAGATATTTTTCATTGACCAGTTTCTTGTAAGATATGTTTTCATAGACCGGTTTCATGTAAAATATGTTTTCATAGACAGGTTTCGTTTAAGATATGTTTTCATAGACCGTGCTAGCCCTCAGTTATTTCTTCTGTCCTGCGTGTTCACATTTATTTTTTCTTTAAAAAACTTGTAAGGTTTATCTTTTATAACGGCAGGCTTGATCTACATGTGTGGGTGGTTGGCGGGTGCTCTGGTGTGGTTTGCTTCTTCCTTCCTATCAAACATCTATCGTCCTTATCTCTCCTCTTTCTTTTTTGTGTTTGATATTCTCTTGTAACACCTTTAAGTTTCGGCACTTATATTATTACCTTATTGTGTTGCAAGTGCTGTAAAACTATTACTGGAACTAAAAACTTTATGCTCCCCCCACCACCACCCCACCGCCATAGGTGATCCTGATGTTCCTACAAAACATGAACCTTCTGCTGAGCAAAACGCCGACCCAACAACTACAGACCTACGTGTTCCCGCTCATTTTCTCCGCCCTGGAGTCGGACAGTCCTCAGATTCAGGTCAGATGAGTGCTAGAACCATCAGTTAACGTATTTACTCTCAGCATGAGTTACATCATTCATGATTTTCCATGAGATTTTTTCATGTGTTACACACAGAACCTTTTACTCGTCCCCTGATGTATTGTGTGTTACACACGTGTTAACTAATCCCAACTTATCTGAACACACACTTGTGTTAACTGGCCCCTACACTGTCTGAACACACACATGTTAACTGGCCCCAACATATCTGAACACACATGCGTGTCAACTCTCAAAACACCCGTGTTAACAAATCCCAACTTGTCCGAACACATACGTGTTAACTGATGCCAACATATCTGAACACACACACTCACACACACATATAAACTGATCCCAAGGACAGATTAGGGCTGTAGAGAAGCAAAGTTTTGCGTTGTCCTCATTTTCTTGCATGGCATGTTTGGTACTAGCTGTCGGCGCACAGCGCATGTTTCTGTGTGTCAGCTTAGAGAATGCCGACCTTTGAGACAAAATATCAATGGATCAAATGTACCGTAGATGGCGCTGTGCTCTGCTTTTATCTGTGTGTTCAGGATGTACTGGGAAAAATATACATACTCTTTGAATATTCAATGTGGGTTGTTGGCAGGTGCTCTGGTGTGGTTTGCTCCTTCTTTCCTATCAAACATCTGTCGTCCTCATCTCTCCTCCTTCTTTTCTGTGTTTGTTACTCTCTTGTAACACTTCTAATCTTTTCGGTATTTATATGACCTTTTTGTGTTGTGAGTGCCGTAAAACTCTTACTAGAACTAGAACATTACATTTATTTGGGCATTCTTACAAATATGTAATTAGTCATTTACTCAGTTGTTTTTTTTTAAAGATTTTTTTTAATTACAAAGGAAAAATAGCAGATATTGTAACGCCCTAGTACCGAACCATATAACAACTTGCGACCTCCGAAGTGCTTTCTTGTCTATCTCCTTTTTTTTTAACAGTGAAAATATGACATCTTGTTAAGCTCTCTCTTTGTTATGAACTGTTTTCACTGGTATTATAAATGGAGATATGACAAAAAAGCACTCAGGTCGTGAACTAAGAAGTTTGAGAAACACAAGGTGAACGCGTCAATATTTCGTGGATCTTGGGAGATTGAGGGACTTCTGCAGCAGCAGGACTAGTGAAGGACAGTGGACTCCTACTTTCTTCATCATCATCATCATCATTATTTGATAATCATCATCGTCGTCATCATCATCACCATCATTATTTGATAATCACCATCGTCATCATCATTATTATTTAGAAAGCAGAGTAGGTAGGGAGAGTCTCATCATCCTCATCATCATCATCATCATCATCACCATCACCATCTTCGTCACCACCACCACCATCATCATCATCACCACCACCACCATCATCATCATCGTCATCACCGCCACCACCATCATCATCACCACCACCATCTTCATCATCATCACCACCACCACCACCATCATCATCATTCACTGTATATATGATTCTGTCATCCCCTGGCTCAGCGCCACTATCAGGGCCTCGAATGTGTCAACATACAGGTGATTTTCTTCCTCCACGGCTCTAACATAACGCATCTTAACCCTCTCATCATCATCATCATCATCATCATCATCATCATCATCTCCCCCCCTCTTTCCCCAACACCCCCCCCCCCCCCCAAGTTATCTCATACATAATAATAATAATATGTACTGCAGGCAGAAACAGCTTTGTTTTAGTTTTAGCTTTCTTGTTTGATGTCAACTAATTATAGAACATGCCTGAACTGAACTAAGGATAATATGTGTCGCAACGTGGTGGAATCAGGCGCTCGTCAATTTTTGGGCTGTGGAGTTATTGATATTGTCTGAAAGCTTATTCATTGGCCTTGCTTTCAATGACAAAAATACCCATCTATCTTGACTAAAATTGGAGATATTTGTGTTTGAAGGAGATGGGGTCACCTAGTTACAGTGGAAAAATTAGCGAGAAAATGGCCACCAAAGTTTTGTAACTTCAATATCTTGAGTGTCCTTGAAAAACTGAAAAATTACATATTTTGTGCCTTTTATAAATGTTTTTCATGAAAATTTACATGAAAATATGTTTTTGTAAGGACATAAAAGGTGATGAGCCAAAAAACAAAAAATCCGTAAAAATTGCCAGACTGGCAGAAAAATGCGTGGATCTTTGATTTCATAATTTGGACAAGCGCCTAATTTCACCATGATGCCTCACATATATATATATATATATATACCGTACTGAATGTGTTGTGGGCTAATGCCAAAGCGATTCTGTACCAGTTTAGTAGAGACTTTTTGCTAATGGTACAAGTTACAATATATCGTACATCATACTTACTCCGTCATTAACTAATTAGGACATACCTGAACTGAACTAAGAATAAATGTACTATGTGAGTTGTGGGCTAAGGGTACATGTTACATACTTTCTACACCATTAACTAATTATAGAATAGGTCTGTATTGAGCTAACAATAAGATGTAGTATGTGAGTTATAGGCTAAAAGTACACGTTATATACGTTCTACGCCTTTTACTAATTATAGAATCTGTCTGTGGTGAACTAAGGATAAATATACTATGTGAGTTGTTGGCGAATAGTACATGTTATATACCTTCTCCGTCATGAACTAACTATAGAATAGGTCTGTACTGAACCAAGTATCTGTACTGAACCAAGGATAATATATTAGGTAGGATGTGAGATGTGAGCTAATGGTACATGATATGTATTTTCTCCATAATTAACTAATTATAGAATAGGTCTGTACACTGAACTAAAGGTAATATTTAGTATGTGAGTTGGGATGTAATGGTATGTGTTATATATATATATTTTCTCCTTCTTGAACTAACTATAGAATAGGTGTGTACTGAACCAAGGATAATATATTAGGTAGGATGTGAGTTGTGAGCTAGTGGTACATGATTTTTTTTTTTTTTCATCAGTAACTAATTATAGAATATGTCCGTGGTGAACTAAGGATCATATTTTGTGTGTGAGTTGTGATGTAATGGTATGTGTTATATATATATTATTTTCTCCGTCATTACTAATTATAGCAGGTCCTTAACGAACTAAGGATAATACAGTATAACACGGATAGTTCGAATTTACCGGGACTGGCCTCGGTAGTTTGAGGGATCTGTAGTTCGAGGGATATCTTACAAAGATAAAGAAGAAAGAAAAAATGGGACCACAGGCACAGTTCGATGGATGCGTGATTTCGAGTCTTCTGTGTTCGACCTATCCATGTTATACCGTATAAACATGTAGGCCTTACTTCGTAAATCGTGACGTAGTGGTACAGATGTCATATATATGAGGGTACTGACGTAGTGGTACAGATGTCATATATATGAGGGTACTGACGTAGTGGTACAGATGTCATATATATGAGGGTACTGATGTAGTGGTACAGATGTCATATATATGAGGGTACAGATGTAGTGGTACAGATGTCATATATATGAGGGTACTGACGTAGTGGTACAGATGTCATATATATGAGGGTACTGACGTAGTGGTACAGATGTCATATATATGAGGGTACTGATGTAGTGGTACAGATGTCATATATATGAGGGTACTGACGTAGTGGTACAGATGTCATATATATGAGGGTACTGACGTAGTGGTACAGATGTCATATATATGAGGGTACTGTCTCCGTCATGAACTAACAAACATATTGGTGGGTGGTTGGCGGGTGCTCTGGTGTGGTTTGCTTCTTCTTTCCTATCAAACATCTATCGTCCTTATCTCCCCTCCTTCTTTTTTGTGTGTTTGTTGCTCTCTTGTAACACCTCTAATCTTCGGCACTTATATGACCTTATTGTGTTGCAAGTGCTGTAAAACTCTTACTAAAACTAAAACTAAAAACAAACATATTGCTGCTTCACCACGTACCATAACATGACGTCATCCGTAGCACTTGTCGGTGAGGCAGCAATGCTGTACCCTGTCAGCAAGGAACCAATCGCAACCCTAGAATTACGAAGTTCTCTCTGCTCAGTGCCAAGTTTAGACAAATATGAGGTCAAAGATTTTGAGTCTCACAGCATACCAAGCTTTTTTTTAAATGAAATTCTTCCAATGTCTTGATAACAACTCTGAATAGTGTCACTATTTTGATGGAGCAGATAGAACATTTGGCTTCTGAACTCACAGTCTCTGTAACTCAAAACGGCCAAAAATGTCAGATAGAACTTTGTTAATTCTAAGGTATCGACTTGTCGGTGAGGCAGCAGTACTGTACCCTGTCAGTAACGAACCAATCGTGACCCTAGAATTACACAATTCTACCTGATCAGTACCTAGTTTTGACAAATTCAACGTAAAAAAAAATTTGAGTTTGACAACATGTCAAGCTTTTTAAAAATTCAATTCTTTGAATATCTTGATAACAATTTCCGAATAATCTTAATCTTACCATTTTGATAGAACAGATAGAACATTTGATTTCTATCCCTATGGTGTTAGTAACTCAAAACTCTCTCTTTCTCTCTCTCTCTCTCTCTCTCTCTCTCTCTCTGTCTCCTCTCTCTCTCTCCCTCCCTCCCCTCTCTCTCTGTCTCTCTCTCTGTCTCTCTCTCTCTCTCTGTCTCTCTCTCTCCTCTCTCTCTCTCTCTCTCTCTCTCTCTCTCTCTCTCTCTCTCTCTCTCTCAGTTGAACGTCTTGCCTTAACTGTGTGTCTCGTCTTCTTCAGATATCTTTTATTTGTACGTATGTATATGAATTAGAAGCATCGTTCATTTTCTCATCATCGTTACTGTCATCATCATCATCATCAACATCATCATCATCATCATCACCATCATCATCATCATCATCATCATCATCATCATCATCATCACCACCGCACCACCACCACCATCACCACCACCATCATCACCACCACCATCATCACCACCATCATCAGCACCACCATCATCACCACCACCATCACCACCATGACAATGTCTGTGTGTTTCTATTGCGCCCCGCCCGCCCCCTCCTCCCCCGTCCACCCCTCTCCCCTCAACCTCCACCCCCTCCCCCCAATATCCACCTCCAGGGCCCGGAAAGTGTGAACATACAGGTGATTCTCTTCCTCCATCACGGCTCTAACATATCGCAGCTTTCTCCAAATAATATAGCTATCTCATATATAGGCTACCGCCTGCAGCTAACATATCGCAGCTTTCTCCTGTTGCTATCTGATTATATATATATTTATTTATTAAATACCGCCTGCAGAACAGCTATGCTTTAGCTTTCTTGTTGGGTGTCAACTAATTATGGAACATGCCTGGACTGAACTAAGGATAGTATATAATATGTATGTGAGTTGTGGGGTAATGATACCTAACTTTCTGCGTCACTAACTATTTATAGAGCAGGTCTGTACAGAACTAATGAATAATATATGATATATCATACAATAAGAGTTATGAGATTGTGGTATATATGTTGTATACTTTCTGCATCATGAGCCAATTATAGAATAGGTCTGTACTGAACCAAGGATAATATGTGGAATGAGAGTTGTGGGCGAATGGTATATGGCAGATGTATACTTTCTACATCATGAACTAATTATAGAATATGTCTGTACTGAACGAAAGATGCTATATTATATACTATGTGAGTTGTGGGCTAATGGTACTTTCCACGCCATTAACTAAGTTATAGGGATGGTGTGCACTGAACTAAGGATAATATGTGGAATGAAAGTTGTGGGCTTATGGTATACGTTATGGTTTCTTTCTGCATCATGAACGAACTATAGAATAGGTGTGTACTGGACTAGGGATAATGTATTATTGTACTATGTAATTTATGAGGCTAATGGCATATGTATACTTTCTGCAACATAAACTAACTATACAATAAGTGTGTACTCTGAACTAAGGATGATATATTATATACTATGTAAGTTGTGGGCTAATGGTAGATCTATGTGTTATAGTCTACTTTCTACATCATGAACTTACTATAGAATATGTCTGTACGCTGAAGTAAGGATAATGATTATGTAGGGTAGGAGTTGTGGGCTAATGGTACTCATATTATACTTTTTGCATCCTGAACTAACGATAGAATAGGTCTGTACTGAACCAAGGATAATATAATATAAGTGGTGTGAGTTGTGGGCAAATGCTGCATATTATTCCTCATGAACTAACTGTAGAATAGGTCTGTACTGATCGAAGGTTCACATAGTTTGTGAGTTGTGGGCTAAAGGTATACGTTATAGTATACTTTCTGCATCATGAACTGACTATAGAATAGGCCTGTACTGAACTTATGATAATATATTATATTAACTATGTAATTTATGGGACAAATGGTATACGTTATAGTTTCTTTCTTCATCATGAACTAACTGTAGAATTGTTCTGTACACTGAACTTAGGATGATATATTATATACTATGTAAGTTGTGGGCTAATGGTACATATTGTTAACTTTCTGCATCATGAACTAACTAAAGAATAGGTGTGTACTGAACTAAGTATAATATATGTTAATGTTACATAGGATTTGAGTTGTGGGCTAATGACATATGTATACTTTCACAACATGAACTGACTAAAGAATAGGTGTGTACTGAACTAAAGATACTTTATTGTATAGGGTAGGAGTTGTGGGCTAATGGTACATGTTATGCTTTTTGCATCATGAACTGACTATAGAATAGGTGTGTACTGAACCAAAGATAATATATTATTATACTATGTAAGTTGTGGGCTAGTGATATATGTTTTAGTATACTTTCTGCATCATGAACTAAATATAGAATAGGTGTGTACTGAACTAAAGATACTATACTGTATAGGGTATGAGTTGTGGGCTGATGGTTCTGTGGTGTATTTTCTACATGGCGGTGTGCTGGGGAGAGCTTGGGTTCTTGGGTTCTTGGATTCTTGGGTTCTTGGGTTCTTGGGCTCTTGGGTTCTTGCACCAGATCATTATGGTGCTTGGCGGGAAAGATGCATGCTTTCACATACGTGCGCACGCATGAACAAACGCACACACACTCATACACCACCTGTACAAACACACACACACACTCACATACACGCTTGTACAAACCCACACACACACACACACACACACACACACACACACACACACACACACACTCGCTCAGACATGTACAAATGCACACACATGAACACACAAACGCACGCACACTTACACACACACACTCACACACATGCATGTACAAATGCAGGCACGCACTCTCACATACACGCACATACAAACACACACACCCTCACACACACAAACACACACACACACGTTTAAACACACACACACTCACATAAACGCACACCTATAAAACACATGTGTACAAAAACACACACGCACACACACACACACACGCTCACACGCACACACACACACACACACACGCACACACACTCGCACACACATGTACAAATGCACATACATGCACACTCAAACGCACACACACACACTCACACAAACACACACACGTACACACACTAATACACACACACACACAAAGTGAGAGGGAGAGAGAGAGGGAGAGCTTTCAGAACTAATCGTGATGGAAATTATGTATGTTTTTTTTTTTCCTTAACCGACAGAGTCTTTATGATTTCTAATGCTTCACATATCATATTCTGTTTCCCATAATCCTCTAATGTTTCCTGTAATCCTCTAATACTTCCCGTGTTGTCTAATACTTCTCATGTGTCCTAATACTTCCCATATTCTCAATGCTTCCCACATCTCTGACGTTTCCCTTATTCTCTAATGTTTCCCATATTCTCTACTAATTCTCATATGTATGTATTTCTAAATGTGTATTTATGTGTGTATATGTTTGCCATTGTAAACCAAATTGCCCTTTTGGGATTTATTCTTCATTTTTTAAATTATAATTTTAATGATGCCAAGTGTACTTGAAGACCTCTTGGTTCTTGATGACGTCACCACAAATGGCGGCCCCTATTTATACGTCTGTTACGACTGTGTTCCTTTGAAACTGGGGACTGATCAGACGCAGTCCTCGGCGTCATTCTCTTGAGCATCAGCTGTGATTTCTTGGTTTTTTATTATACCTTCTTATTCTAGTTGCTAACTTGTGAACAATCCCATATTTATAGCCGGACCCTAACATGTAAACTATCTTATAGCTTATAGATAGATAGATAGATAGATAGATAGATAGATAGATAGATACATTCATACTCATACTCATACATACATACATACAGACGGACAGACAGACAGAGAGACAGACAGACAGACATATGTGTGAGTATGTGTGTCTGTATAATCAGTTTTTCTGAAGACTTTAAATGTCCTGGCAACTGTAAAAAGTGACTGATGTAGACGGCTGCCCTAAAGCTGTTCCGTGCTGTATACAACGCTGTCTACGGCTGTCCTAACACTAACGAGGTGCTGTTGTGTGCTGTATACAGCATGTAGGTGCTTGGCAGGTGCTCTGGTGTGGTTTGCTCCTCCTTTCCTATCCAACGTCTATCGTCCTTATCTCTCCTCCTTCTATTTTGTGTATGTTACTCTCTTGTAACACCTCTAATCTTCGGCATTTATATGACCTATTTGTGTTTCAAGTGCCGTAAAACGCTTACTTAAAAATATACAGGGCTGTTGACAGCTGTTCTAACACTAACAAGCTGCTGTTGTGTGCTGTATACAGGAGCTGTGCCTAAACATCATCCCGACGTTTGCCGACCTGATAGAGTACAACACGCTGAAGAAATCTCTGGTGCCCCGGGTGAAGAAACTGTGTCTTAGCACATCTGTGCTCAACGTGAGTGGTGTGTGTGTGTGTGTGTGTGTGTGTGTGTGTGTGTGTGTGTGTCTGTGTGTGTGATAGAGTACAACACACTGAAGAAATCTCTGGTGCCCCGGGTGAAGAAACTGTGTCTTAGAACATCTGTGTTCAACATGAGTGGTGTGTGTGTGTGTGTGTGTTGGCGGGTGCGCTGGTGTGATTTGCTCCTTCGAATATTTATCGTCCTCATGTCTCCTCCTTCTTTTTTGTTTTTTTTTCTTTTTTTGTTTGATTTTTATATTTGTTACACTCTCATAACACCTCTAATCTTCGGCACTTATATGACCTAATTATTGTGTTGCAAGTGCCGTAAAACTCTTTCTAAAACTAACCCTGTTCCATATGTCTGTATGTCCCCCCCCCCCCCTTCCCTGTTGTGTACTAACAAACCTATGGGTCAATCGCTTCCCTCTCACTCTCCCTGTGTGGTTGGCGGGTGCTCTGATGTGGTTTGCTTCTTCTTTCCTATCAAACATCTATGGTCCTGATCTCTCCTCCTTTTTTTGTGTCTGTTACTCTCTTGTAACACCTCTAATCTTCGGCACTTATATGACCTTATTGTGTTGCAAGTGCCATAAAACTCTTACTAAAACATCACTTCCAGGTCCGTGTGAACTCCCTCCTGTGTATCGGCAAACTGATGGACCAGATGGACAAGTGGTATGTCCTCGACGAGGTCCTTCCCTTCCTGAGGGACATCCCGACCAGGGAGCCGGCCGTCCTCATGAGCATTCTAGGTACGTCCTTCTCGCTACACACACCTGGCCACATAACGTTACACACTACACACCTGGCCACGTGACACACTACACTCCTGGCCGCGTAACACACTACACACCCGGCCACGTAACACATTACACACCTGGCCACGTAACACACTACACACCTGGCCACGTAACACACTACACGCCTGGCTGTCTTCATGAGCATTCTCGGTACGTCCTTCTCACTACACATCTGGCCGAGCTACACACTACACACCTGGTCGCGTGACACACTACACACCTGGTCGCGTTGCACAGGGCTACATACTGGCTGTGCTACAAACTACACACCTGGCCTAACCCACTACACACCTTTCCGCATTACACACTTGGCCACACTACACAACATCTTGGTTTAACTCCCTAAAATGTCTTTTCTGAACCTAAGTTTGCTTAATTAAAATAAAGAATTTTTACTGCAGATGGTTGGTTGGCACAATGGTGTGGTCTGCTGTCTCTACTTCTTCTCACTGTGTGTGTATCTGTTGTCTTTTTCTGAGGGTCCTAGGTCTGTCTGTTATCTTTTTCTGAGGGTTCTAGGTCTGGCAGTTCAGCTGGCACACAATATCACTCGATTGTTTACAGTCAGAACATACATCTGCCAAACCTCGGCAACATTCATCTTATTTATAGTCAAACTGTATCTTTACTGCCTGGATTCTTTTGTATGTTTGTCACTCTCTTGTGAACTGTTATTTCCGGGGTGCCTTGATAGTCGAAGCAGACCTTGTGCTGTTGAGGCTAGAGAGGTGAGCAGAGTAAGTCTGATTCCCTGTAAAGACTTCTCTGTTGACATCCACCCCTTGGCGCTCATATGACCTTATGCAGTTGCAAGCTCCGTAAAACCCTTACTTTAAAAAAAGCCAACTACTTACAGCTTGGATCATTCGCGTCTACTCCATTCGGTGTTTATTTTATGCAGAAATAGATTTTAAACGGGAGAGGAATTGTCTTGTAGAAATTAATGATACTGAAGACTTGGATGAAAAATGTTGGTTACCTACAAAAGAGGTAGCCTTCTGTAGCCTACAATGTGAGGCTAAACATTTTTGTCAAATTTGAGTTACAGTCAGATTAGTCAGATTACTGAGTATGTATCTAGCTTAAGATTATGATTGTTTATATTACTGTTCATTTATATTATGCATGTGACTGTAAGCCTGCATGTGTGTGTGTGTATGTGTGTGTGTGTCCGTGCATGTGTGTGTGTGTGTATGTGCATGTGTGTGTGTGTGTGTGCGCGTGTGTGTGTGTGTTTGCGTGTGTGTATGTGTGTACATGGTTAAACACCAAACCAATGTGCCAGGATCTGGACAGTAAAGGTGTATCTTATCTTATCTTATCTTCTCTTATCTGATTGTTGTTAACTCCGTGCAGGTATCCACAAGGTGGCTCTGTCTGAAGCCAAGCTGGGAATTACCAAAGACGTGATGGCCAACAAAGTTCTGCCCTTCCTCATCCCTCTCAGCATAGACAACAACCTCAACCTCTCTCAGGTACCTCTGTCTTACACACATATACACACACATATATATATACACACACATATACACACATACACACACACACACATACACACATCATCCCTCTCAGCATAAACAACAACCTCAACCTCTCGCAGGTACCTCTGTCATACACACATATACACACACATATATATATACACACACATATACACACATACACACACACACACATACACACATCATCCCTCTCAGCATAAACAACAACCTCAACCTCTCGCAGGTACCTCTGTCATACACACATATACACACACATATATATATACACACACATATACACAC